TGCCAGGAGGATGAACAGCATGTATGAAACTGAGAGTAAGGAAGACTGTCCAAAGGGCCTGTTGTTTGCTATGCAGGGACTCCAGGGGCTATTAATTATTTATCTACTTCTCAAAGTTAATAAATAGGAATGTCTTTTGCCCTTTATTCCCCAGCTGAATTTAACCAAATGAGAGATGGGTATGTGTGTGCAGAGTTAGCCATCTGAGAATGCAGGCGGTGCAAGTAATGAAAAGGAGATTTTTTTAAAAACAAATACATTTAATGCCTATTAAGTATGCACATCACTGCTTTATCTGGCATGTTTTTTATTATGAGTAAATTCTCATGAATATTTTGATGGTTTTAGAGTGTACTTTAAAAAACATGAGTGCTTTAAAAACACATTTATTAATACAAAAAAAGGAAGCAACATTTAAATAACACATTGTCTCACACACACACACAAAATACTTATATATAGTTAGAAAATGCAAACTGAAGAAATAAGAACCTCCCTCCTCACCACCCCAGTCCTTCCAGCTAAAGGTAAACCAGTTTATGCTTTCCACCCTCCCAGGGGAAAAATGTATGCATATATGTTCATTTATTTACCAGAACAAATCATATTATGCACATGTTCTGTTACGTGCTTTTTTAAGTAATAACACATCATCTTGATACCATTTCCATCTCAGCACACGTGATTACCACATTCTGTTTGCTCTTACACACATGCGTCAGTGAGTATCATCTTTGCATACACAGCTTAGTGTTAACATGTGTTTTGGGTTTGTTTTTTTTCAGTGTGACCTACCATGAAAGTCAGTGCAGCAAGCACAAGCTACTCCCAGCAGTCTACCCCAGCTGTGTGGTGAGAAAAGAGCAATCTAGTTTCCTCGGTTTATTTCAGATCCTTTGGAAACTTTCCTGAGAAAACTGTGATTTATACATGGGTCTCAGAACAGCTTGAAGGGGCTACTGAGAAAAGGATCGTTTTCAGCTTAAAGGAGATGAATCTTTCTACCTGTTCACTTCTAAATGTAAAGGCTCATGTGGCAACGCAGGAGTCCTGTCTTTGCACTTAGATCCACTTGGTGGCCACCCCTGCCCCACTTCCAGGAGTGTACTGAATGCTCACGGCATGAACGGAATGCTTGTAGAAGGGGAGACATAAGCAAGTGCTGGACAGCCATGCATCGAACAGCAGGTAAAATGGCCTGATCACTGTTCCCTTCACTCTATTACACAGCTAACTAGGAACTCACGGCTTATGGAAGACCAATATTTAGGATGTCTGCCTAGAGGTGCCCAGGAACACAGCTGAAGGCGAGAGTTTGGTCAAAAAATGTCTACAGAGGTCACAGTTCAGAAATTTAATAATAATAAAACCATCTCATATATTTACACTTAGTAGCCTCAAATCCTTTTTGAGATGATGGAGGATTTAAATTATATTTTGAAACCTTTCAACATAGCATTTTTCCAAATATTTGTTATCTCAGTTGACTCACACATCATTCTATGACACAAGTAGGCCAGTGTCACTCACTGTCCCCACTTCAAAGATGAAATGACTGTGGAGCAGCAAAGTTAAATGACTTGCCCAAGGCCAATTGGCCGACTAAGTGTTCTGACTCCAAGGGCTGTGCTCTTTCCTGAATTCTCCCAAGCCCACTCACGTCCAACAAGTCCAGCCCACCAACTTTAGAACTCCAAGCAAAGAAAAGCTAAGAATGAAGCTAGAGAAATAAATATAAATATATCCCTCTCTGGGGATACCCGAAATCTTGAAAACTACCCCTTCTTAATAGAACTTTGAAAACTTAAATAATATTAATGTTGCTAAGTGCCAGGTTGAGATACCAAACTTAAACCTTGACAGGATAAGAGTCTTTTACTAGTTTTACAAATTTATCTGTGAAAACCCGGTTTTATGTTCTATTATAAACATCCATACTATCTCAGCTTTTAAAAATCTAGTAGCTCTTAATTTTTACAGTTAGGGCAATGCCCTGGACAGTAATAGTGGTCTATCAGATATTTAACACCTATTTCTTGAGTTTCAGTCAGGACTGTCCTAGGTGAGTGTTTTTTCAAACTCTTTAGAATGGGGCCTACAGAAGAAATAGTCTCAACTTTGTAAACCATACCTATGTATCTGTCATAGAAACCAAATTTTCACAAGGCAATAATTACCCTTCCTATGGGTGATTTACTTGGTTATTTTCTATGCTTTTATACTTTTCCATTTCATTTTTTAAAATTGTAATTATGGACCAATACATTGATTTTATGACTCACAAATGGGTCACGACCCACAATAATCTGAATAACACTGGCTCAGGTGAACAATACACAGGTCCTTCTTCGGGGAATTTATACGCTACTTGGGAGTCTGTCAGCTCAACTGTCTACTCTGTAGCTGACCTGCCAACATCCCTGACAGAGGGTGATATACCTGAGAGCGCCTGAATATCTCTAGGGACAAAGAAATGGAATGTATATTTATGTGACTCATTTAACTTCAGGCCTGTGCTATTTTTCCTAAAAGACAACGTCAACCTTTTTCCCTAAACCCATCTCCGTCTGTTGCAGGAGGAGGGTGAAGTGGAGAAGGAAAGTCAGGGGGACAGAGGTCTAGAAAGGCTCCTCTCCTCTCTGATGGCTTCGAGAAGAGGTCTCAGCAGGTTAAAACATCACGAGCAGCCTCCAGAACTGGAGGCCTAGTAAGTGATACTCACGATGCGGGCTAGGCGGCGGGCGGTCGGAAAGGCTCCCCGAGGAGGTCGCGGTGGCCGGTCCTGGTCCTGCGAGGGGCTGCGGGCAGAGGGCGGGAGAAAGCGGAGGGCGCGGTCAGGGCGCGCACGCACGGCCCAGATCCAGGGTTCTAGTAAGATCGCTCTGGGTGCCACAAAAAAAAAATAGAAAAGCTGGGCTGTCCGCGTCGAATTTACACAGCAATTCCGTCGGGCCTCTTTTCTTAACGCAGCGCGAGCCTTATCTGCAGCTACCGCGAAACGCCTGTTTCCTTGGCGAAAGCTGCCGACTTTTTATCCAGAAGCTTGTCCTCGACGCTGCTAAGGGCCCGATAAATAATTATTATTATAAACTATTTTGCATTGCGCCAGACTGAAGTTTTGCATCAACAGTAAAATAAGAGCGAGGCTGTTCGGAGCTCCCACACACACAGGGACCCCTGGGGGCGTCGG